TAAACTAATTCCTCTATGACTTTCACAAGAGGATCTGTCACCTTTCTTGTGAATCGATATGATGACCGATTCACACCATTCAGCTGGAACCTCTACCCTCTACCAAACTGAGTCCAGGAGTTTCGGTAACTCCGAAACCAATGCTGAGCCTCCATTCTTAAAAATGGTTGGTGAGAGCCCGTCTGGGCCTGAGACCTTATGCCTTTTGAGACAGCTTATTTCCCGAGAAGCCTCCATTTCAGATGGAGGACTGGCATCGACTGACAGAATTTGAGCAGTTGCAGTGGAGATTGACAGTTCAGATGTGGATGGGAGCCAGTTGAACTGAGCCTTGAAATGTTCAGCCCATCGATCAAGACGTCGTTGCTGATCGTGAATCAGTGTGCCATTGAATCCCCAATTACCTCACTTCGCTTATTTTCCTAGGACCCGTATTCCTAATTAGACGGGAAAGATTGCAACTATTACCAATAGTCGCAGCCTTCTCCATCTCTCTATACTTTCCCATGCACCACTTCTCGTGGTCATTTCTCAGACTCTTGATGAGCTGGCGTTTGAGGGATTTGCGCGCTGTCATATGCAGCATCCGGAGGAAGGGTTCTGCTGGCGTCCAGCAGGGCAGACGAGGTCAATGAGATCCATGGTTTATGTTTTGAGCATGTGTGAGGGTCTGACATTGTTTTTATTGATATTTGCATAGCATCCTTGATTTGTTTCCAGTGTTCATTGAATCCTTCGGCTGGCGGTTGAACTGACAGGCGATCGGAGAGTTCTGCTTTGGAGTCCGATTTGCAACAATCGCTGACGTTGTATCGTAGGTATCCGTTTTCGGTGGCGTTTTTGCTGTTGTTTGCCAGGCGTAAGGAGAATTTGGCTCGTATCAAAGCGCTGTCCGTATCAACAGGTGTTGACCAGTAAGAGCGGCAGTCTTGAATCGCTCCCCTCCAGCGGTAACTGATAGCGATGTGGTCGATTTGGGTCCAGCGCTGTGAAGAGGTTGGCGGTCTCCATGTAAGACGGCGATGCTTTTTGTGCGAGAAGTTCGTGCTTGACAGGAACAGTCCGTGGTCGGCACAGAGTTGAAGTGGGCGATCTCCGTTGTCCGTCCGTTTGGCTTGGNAAGAGGCCTTTCTGATTCGTCTAGGGGACCCACTTGAGCATTGAAGTCTCCGGCGATTACCACGATGTCCGTTGATCGAGCGCTTTGGAGTAATCGAGAAAGGTTCTTGTAGAATTCATCCTTGATTTCAGATGTACAGCAATCCGTCGGTGCATACACCGATACGACGAATAGACATCGACGCTTCGTTCTGTAGCTGTTGACTCGCGCTGAACCGTTGAGACGTACGGCGCACAGTTGGCTACTGACTGGAATCCAGTTCTGTTCTGTCAAAAGTAATGGAATCGATTGTTGCTGACTCTGTGATGGAGCATTTCGAGAAGTATAAAATTCCATCGCCGACCCAACACGGTTTTCGAAAGAAACGCTCGTGCAGCCCAAACCAGCTCCTTGCACGAGATGAATGGGCGAGATCAGTCGACGCAGGGGAGGCAGTAGACGTAGTCTACTTAGACTTCTTCAAAGCTTTTGGCAGGATTAACCACCATATACTGCGAAAGCTTCATAACCATGGTGTTCGAGGACTGCTCCTTGAGTGGATTGAGGAATTTTTTCGACAGCATACTGTATCGGTTCGAGTTAGTGGTTCCTCTATCGCGACCAATTGAGGCTGTCCGTGGAGGTCCACAAGGATCTGTACTCGGTCCGTACTTTTTCCCAGCATTCATAAACAATCTACCAACTGTCCTTGGAGAAAACGCATACTTATACACTGAAGACGCCAAAATATGGAGGACGGTACAACATCCTGAAGATAATGAAACCCCACAGGAAACTCTCGAGGCAGCTTATCGATGCTTTATCACTGATTACACCGAGTTCTTTGCGTCACAGGAGTCGCTTTCCATATGTACTTGGAGCTCAGCCAATACCGCGTTCTTCAAACGAAAAGGAACTGGGAGTTATCGTTCTTGGGAATCTAGGATGTTCCACACATTGCGCAAGAGCATCATCAAAGACGATGAAGCTCGTTGGATTACTAAACGTGTTTTCGGATCAGTGGAAGCAGACCTATTACTTCGATTGTTATCAGCATACATTAGACCACGCACCGCGTACGTTATGCAGGCTTGGAATTCATGGCTGATTAATTTTTCGGGCAGCATACGTTTGTGGCCTTTCGAGAAAGTTCTCTTCATTCGTGTCCCGTTTTCGGTCAATTTAACGGAAGGAAAATGTTTCTTAATTCTCATCTTATGGTGAATGGTTTGGTAATAAATTGATGTTTTTTCAACCTCTTTATAGTCTATTTCTTCATAGCTGTTCAAATCTCAGTTTTTGAAGTGATTCGTGTGCATCCATGCATCTCTCTATCGAACCTGATTAGGTAAATTACCCATTTCGTTTGATTATCGACTCTGATCCTGGCGGATCAACGTCCCAATCACAACCGCAAAAAGAGGAAACCGGAGGATCTGCACCAACGTTGGCGGTTGGCAACATGGGTATTTCGGTTGAAGACTTCTCATGGCTTCAACCTCTTTCCGATTGTATTCGCCTGATTCGGTTTGAAAATCCACCAACGCTACCGAGCTTGACAACAGATCCGGTTTCTGTTGTGGCAAATACGGAACCGGCGATTTCCATTCGAACAGAGATCGATCCGGAATTGAATTGTGCACGTTCAGGCGAGATCGTTGCAGTTCATTCTCAAACAGCGCTAGATGCGACCAAACCCGAAACAAATTCATCGGACACTGGTCCAGCGAAGTCACTGTCCGATGAGAACGTAAACAGTGAGCACTTTGTCTTGCATGTTTCTGAGTTATTTCCTCCTAACCAATAAAGCCATTGATCTTTTCTGGGTCACCTTGTAATCGTATTCCTGCCTGAGCTCCCAGTTGCTGAAAGCAATTGTGTTGCCGTGATTGTGCTTAGTTGTATCCAATAGGCTTCCAAGAACAGTAATTCTGTCCGCTTGGGGCTTTATCTACCGAAGAATGGTCGTCAATTGAGAAATTTCGGTGGTCCTGGTGGCGCAGTGGTTTAGCTGCTGTCACCGGCGTGCTTTGGACCCTATCGTCCCAGGTTCGATCCCTACCACTGCCACCCATCTTTGGCGGAAAGCATCTTTACAGTCGTCCTGTTCAATGCCACGCCTGACTGATCGGGGCCTTATGTGGTTCGCCACTCCTAGTCCCGGGGCTCCGGTTACCGGGTTACACCACTGAACAGCAAATTCTCCTGACTATGGAGTTTATCCCGTCTGCTGTTCGTCACATTAAAGTTGGTAATGGAAAGAAATTCATCTAAAGTGTGCATAACATCTTAGACCTTACAAGATGTTATTACTTGCAGCTAGCCTAATTGTCAGTTTCACTATCTTACGGCTCTAATATTCTTTGCATGGTCGTGCCCTATGTGGTTTGGACCATCTTTATCCCCGGGTTTGATTTACCGGTGTTCCTGAACTGGAAGGTGGATGCTTGTGACTATCGAGTTTTCCCCTTCCTACTGTTAATCACACATTAGTGTCATTAAAAACATAGGATTCTCGGACACTGTCAGCAGTCTGTTTTTGACCCTAGCTAGTGAGTGCTTGATTCCTGTCGTTTACTTTGGTGTTAGAACAACTCTGTCTTCCTTCTGTTGACAAATGTATGTAACCCTTTCTCGATTCTCGCCCTACCAGCAGCTGCCGAAGTGGTCAGTAATGACGCGCCAAATCAGGTACGTGTGATTGATTCGGTTTTCCAGTTTTTTTTGTTCGTTCTATTTGCACAGACAAATTCTCGTGCCTTCTCACTATTTGCTCTGTTCTTCTTCTGTTCCGGCAAATTCATCTTCGTTTTGCCGAGCTGCAATGAGCAGTTCAATACTTTAACTCGATTTATGAGAAATAAGAAGCCGAAAGCATAAAGAATAGTTGTGTGACCCTGTAGTAGACAACAGAAAATGGGTTCACAAAGGATCGTCGAGACGCTGAAACGAGAGTCGAAAAGTAGACGTCTTATGTGGACTCAACAGACAGCAGCAATCACTGCGGACGCACACAAGGGAGAAGACGTACACTGAGGAGCAGCGTGTATATTGGGAAGTGATGACTTGGGGTCATAACTATTACAAGGGTAAGTGGGGAGAATCATGTAAATGTTCTGGATGGTTTGGCAAGTGAGTTTCTGCTCCTGAAACCTCGGTAGTGGAGTAATTGATATTTGGAACAGGAGCGTATAAGAGAATACGAAGTTATATACATGAAAGGGAATATGTTTAACATCATTCGAGCACTAGTATAATGTTGCCAGTGCAACACAGGCATTCAATTCATCCACCTCAGTTGCGGACTGAAAGGGACAATTTCTGTGTCCTTTCCCAGTGAACTTGAGCGTGATCTGGTTTGTGAATTGAAAAGCACCCTGGACGGAGTTCGGCGATCGCAGTTTGTCTAACTTCAAGGTATGCCTACATTTTAGGGATCTTAGGGTTCTGCGTTCACTGGCCTGATCTGATCGGTCTGGTCTCGTCAGATATCAGCAGCTTCAGACAACGATTCCGTTCACATAATTTGACCATTTTCTGTCAGGTCAACACAGCAACCGAGTTGTATGACTGTCCCCGTAATTGATTAAGAAAACGGACCCGGTTTGTTTTTTGTTGTATTCTTTGCCTACGTCTTCGAACGGCGTTTTGTCTCGCAGTTTATCAACCAATTTGACTTGTTCTTTGCGACCCGATGAATGAAGTATGCATCTGTTTCCCTATCTAAGTCATCGTGATTGCAAGTTTACCATTGTTTAACATGATCAACGTTCAATTCAATTACTTCAGTTACTCATGAGTAATGGTGTGGGATAATACTTATTGATTTGGATTGATTGTCTTGCAGATTTGATCTGAGGATTGTGGAAAGTAGAAGTTTGTAGGTTGGTCTGCAATTAGTCCTTTTACAATTTTCCTCAAGTTGTTTGCATCGGAATAAGTCTGATTCTCGGGATGTACGATTGAATGGCACATTTCATGGTTGCATATTCGACAGAGCTTTTCGGTCTGCAGGTCTGTTAGCTATGCTATTCAGTGTCAACCGTTTGTTTGAAACGTTCATAGTGCCGAGGTGGTCCAGGTTCTGTAAATCGATACAGTACATATGTCGGATGGGAGTCAATGCCCACACAGTGCGTTCATTTTCCCGCCTTCACGATCTGCTTTGTGTGAGCCCTATTCAATGTGTTTCGTTCCAGGTTAGCAATGATATTTCATACCTGTCACATTCCACACTATGTTCCGAACAAATCACGAAGCAACAGTCTTCATTACAAAGACATGAAACCATAGTGATAATACAACAATTTCAGTCGTCCCGTTTATTGTTTTTCTGATAGATATCACTTGTCAATCACACACGCGCGCACAGCTACCGTTTAACTGCTCGGAACAACCCGACCCAGTCCCGTGTTTTCGATCATTTCGCTCCAACGCTCCCTCTCTCTCCCTCTGTTGGACACGATTTCGTTCAAACTTTTCCGCTCTTATTTTCCTCCATAGAGTTCTCCTTCGGATGCTTCAACTAGGGAACAACTGTCGAATGTAATTGAACGTCCACAGAGCGCATCCAGCATGACATTCAGTGAGAGCGGTTTGGATCGATCAAGGGGTTCCTTGAAGCTGGTTGGTGATGCTGATGATCACGCTGCGCCGACTGTCACCGGCGAAACCCGGTCTCTATCACGCCGCCTAACGTGTGTACATGAACAGTTGGTACGGCTAGATACTCCCTGTTCTGTCATCTCCAAGACTTGGCTCGATATTATCCAGCTTCGTTTAAAAAGAACCGAAATTTGGTCTCGTGTGGAGTACCTGATTTTCGGTCGCTTGCTGGATCACGAAAGGGATTCTCACTCAACGGATTTGCCAGACAGGTTACCTTCGGCACGTTGCTCGTCTGTGAATGACGATTTTTTTCCTCATCTACTCACTATGCGTTTTGTTTCATCTGCCAGTGTTTCCAATCTGTCCGATCATGCTCCATCGAAGTCACACACCGGTTCTGAACTGACCGTTACCGATAAAAGAGAAACTAGCCGCGCAGATCCTGAATTGAATCAGATTCCAGCTGATGATAGCCGTGATCAGCCGACATTTTGTGGTTCCGCTGTTCAACAGAACTCGACCGAATGCATTCAAACGGTAACGGAAAAGAATGATACAAAAAAGCGGTAAATTTTTTATATTAATTTCCGATTAATGTGGGGAAATTATTCCGCCATTGTACGATTTACATGTACACAAGGATCAGTGAGACCTCAAACTAGTCGTATGCTCAAAGGCCCACATCACTCAAAGTCAATAGGCTGGGGGATAATGCTGAATCATTTTCCTGTTCTTAAGTAATGATGAAAAACCTTACCGAACAGGTACGATCAATTTTTACGATTTTTGCTGACTCCCCCTTATTGACCGATTGTGTCGCACAATATCCTTCATGAAGAAAGCACAGTATCGACGTGGGACACGGCGCGTTTAACACAAGTTAACACAATATAGCTGGTACCCATCATGGTGAGAGCAACGATTGGACGCCCACAAACGGTGTGCACGAACCAAATTCCTTTTCTTCCTTGAGAAATGCAAATCTTCGAAAGTGGATTTATTGGTTTTGCCTAGTTGCCCATTTCTGCACCGAATTATATGTAATCTACAAGTGATGCAGACATTTAGAAAGACAATTTCTTATTCCTTGCCATCACGACTAGGCTGCACCTTGACATGGTGTGATGGCTTGTGCACCTCTCTGACCCAATGAGCTACACTGAATGGCTTTTGTCAAGCCGAAGATCTCATCATGCCCGGATGTTTGAAGGGTAAAGGTTGAACAACGTCCAGTCTTCCGGTTCTCCAGTTTTGGGGGTTCGATTAGAATTGACGTTTCAGTCGGTAAAGTATGGTGGAGAAGTAATTGATCCAAGTAAATGGGCCTCCACTTCGCTTCCTTGCGGCTAGGTTCTTGTCAGAACTAAAGGCTTTGGCTGAGAACCCCTAATCGTTCTCCTGCTTAGTGGATGGATACCCTAGCAACACCTATCCATCAAACTCCAGTGCATATGCATTGGGAGTTTGTCAGCGATCAGTGAAGTTCGCTTCTCTGTATTTCGCTATACGATGATGATGATTCCTTGCATGAATGTTGTGTCTCGATGGGGAGCGTTGCACTTATCCAACAGTTCGGTTGGGTTCGATGTTGTGTTAATCGCACAATGTGATCCATGCATGGAGTATGCAGCACATAATCAACGATCGATAGTAGGAGACGAGAGGTTACTAGTTTCACCACGAACAAGTTCACGGCGAGCCGTCCCATCGGAGACTGAATGACCGCACTCTCCCTTTTTATCCGGTATACCTTATTTTTCAGCTAAAAATGAACATTGCTTTTGCAGAAATAAGAAAAAGACACATTTGTTTTAGTTTATCCAAAGGAAGCTCCATTCGTACGGTTAAACGTTGAGCATAACTGCACAGACATTTAATCGTTTCGCTGTCGCGGACACGGTGAACAATGACCTGATATTCAGAGTGACCATTGTTCCACCATCGATCAAGCATATGTCACGAATGTGAATCTGTCTTTCACATTTTGCATCCCTATCTCTCTACTTTCGCTAACCACTTCGCCGGAGCTTATTACCGCGGGTTGCATATGTCCGAATTCGATCGTAATGATCATCCCTCTTTAAGGTGCATTGGCATGATTACGAAAACCAGTCTTAGATAAGAATATAAAATGACAAACAGTATAGCAAACAAGCATGTTTTCTTAACTTCGTTTTCAGGAATTTACAGTTGCTTGTGTTTTTTTATGTCTAATGTAGAAATAAATGTGGCCCACTTCGCCGATCCCGGGCACCGGCCAGACAACGTTGCATTTAAAGTCATTTAGTAAGTACCCCAAAACCTTCGGAAACGTTACTTGTCAACGGCAGAAGCTGTAGTAATCAAAATCATGAACCCACCAGTGTATAAATAGAAGAAAATGGTTGCCGTACTCCAGTTGCCTTGGCCCCAATCAAACCTACGTGACGATCTCAACCATGACCTCAATTATATCGTGATGACGCAACATAGCGTGACAAGTTCAACATGAAAATGGTCATCGGAAATTTCCAGAATTGACCTTGGTCCTCTTTAGCCTCCTGCCCCCATTTTCTCCACCCGCTTCACTGAAACTTAACAGACATTGTTGTATTTTCTCACTCAACCTGAACGGGCCAGTCACATTTATTTCTACATTAGGTATAAACACGCACATAACTGTAAATGCCTGAACACGAATTTTCGAAAACAACTTTGTTCACTTCATTGTTCGTCTTTTGAAAACCAGTTTGTTCGCTGATCTGTTTGTTTGTTGTTGTTGCTCGAAATGTGCTCCGTGAAGACAGACTTCAACACCTGATGACGGCTTTTTTGTCAAGCCAATTGAAGTGATAAGGCTGAAGTAAGATGCGAAAACCCTGCTCGACAAACTTAATCGGGTTCGTCTGATCAGATTCTCTATTTAGAACGTTTCGGTGAACTTAATTGTAGAAATTTTCTCGAAACAAGTAGAAAGAAAAGTTTGCAGAGTTTTTAACGGTGCTCATTGTTAACTGATTTTAGGTCAACGAATGCGGTCGCGTTGAAATGCATGTATGACATCATAGTTGCCAAGTGAAAATGTGCATGGTGAATAGAAAAGGACCGAACGGCTTCAAATTGTCTTCAGTTACAGGCCGCCAGAGAACAGGCGGACACACTGGTAAAATTCCTGTTCATATCCTCTTATTGTCTTCGGTTTGCATTCAATAGAAAAATATTTTCCCGTTCACCTTTATTTCTCAGTTCAAAAAAGAAGGATGGACCGGTTCACAATTATCTGGAGTTAAAACTACGCTTAGTGGATATTCTTGCTCGACTCGGACGTCTGTTGTGCGAGCGACTTCTCTTGACACAGTTTATCACCGGCCAGTTCAATTCATTCGACTACGGCCCCCCAGAATGTCCAAATCTCTCCGGGCTCTCCGTGGAACAAAATACATCTAGATGGGATTTGACTCGGTGGCTCTTACATGATGCATTAATTCGATCGGCGAACTCAGACTCAATGNGACTCAATGCCATCTACACTAACAGAATCGTACTCTGTCGTCGTGGACCAAGAAACGCGCACTTGCTTGCGTCAAATTCACACCCGATTGTTGCAACTGACCACAACGACAGCGATCAGCTCGAACGCGGTCGGTGATCGTGTGGAAATCGGGGCACACTCAATACCCGCCTGGATGTTGGCTTCAGGTGTGCGTGAACTCCCCACGAATAACGAGTCGATCGGTGTGGACACTGCCCAGTCACAGACAAAGAGTTGGAGCTGGGGCAGTGTAGGCGGTCGTCTTCTAGTATTTTTCTTATTGAATCACATTGTAGAGGGAAGATATGCACAAGCCTTGAGATTACTTTCGAGACTTGTACACCAGGTACGTTCACAGTTTTTCTCATTCGTCTACAGCATTCCGATAACCCTATTTTTCTCCACCAAATTCTGGTTCACATATTGATTTGTGTTTTGGTTCGTTTGTAATAACTAAGACTGTCATCTCTGAACCGACAGCGCTTTAAAAATGTCCTTTCACCCCCTTTTTAATTATTGAATATACAAATCTACAGTGAACTTTCAGGAAGGGGCTGCGGCCATACAATGGCTGCCTGGGAAAATACATAAATGAAAAGACGGGCGGTGGTGGAGCGGTTTGAACCCGGGTCGCAACTTGGTGATCTAACCAACTGGCCACCACTGCCCATACTATAATATTAATATATTGTATTATAATATTAAGTCGTCTACAAACGATTTATTGCCTTCACGCTCATACGACGTTTGGATATCGTGTCGACCTCCATACCCTGAAGTCCGGAGTACGGTATCGGCCATATCGCTCTGGCATTACACGAAACCTACTGGACCTGGCCAGGTAAATAGCCTGATCCAAGCACCAGAAAGAATAAGCATGCTTCCTTGGCCACGTGTCAGGCACAGAATGTGCCGTTGCATGTCTGGACGGGATTCCGACTTGGAGGCATTCACTCCTAATCCCTCAGATGGTAGCTTCGCACCATTGGCCCTTCGGACAGGCACATATACCAAAGGTCTGAACCTGCGGTTCCTCTCGTACTAAACAGGATTACCAGATTATAATTTACTGTCTCAATGTACTCATTAGTACGGTAAAACTAACCTGTCCCACGACGATCTAAACCCAGCTCACGTTCCCTATTAGTGGATGAACAATCCAACGCTTGGTGAATTCTACGTCACATCGCTAGGGAGAGCCGATATCGAGGGATCAAAAAACGACGTTGCTATGATCGCTTGGTCGCCGCAAGCCAGTTGTCCCTGTGGTAACTTTTCTTTTCTTGTATATACGCGAGAACACTATATCTATGTGTGGGCAATGCTGCACAACGCGGCCTACGGTCCTGTACGAGGTGCAGCTTTTCCCAATAAGGCTATTTCGGGAAATTTAACTTCATCCTTCAAAGCCCTTTCGGTTCAAAGTATTTTCACACGCAGTGAAGCATATGAAAGTTTTTGATAAAACTAGCGAGGAGTGTTGACCGATGAATAGCTAAGTTCGCAAGAGGAGTTGTGCCGCAGACTGATCCCAATCATACTGATTTGGAAAACGATTGCAATGTGAGCGATGCGAGGTCAACGGAGATCCAGTTAACTATTCGTGTTTAGTGCTGTTTCTAATCACGGAGTCACGCACTTTGTCACACGTAACTAGGTAAAGAAATTTTTCTGTTGACTTCATCGGCATTTTGATGGTATTTCTGCCGAATAAAAAGATTAATTGAAACATGTTCGTCTGTTTCGAAGCTGGTGATCACAATTTGGAGTAAAGAGGGTGTGGTAAGGGATATTTGAACACAACGTGATCAAATGTCTCTAATACTCGACGGCATTCTACTCAAAGTAGATAAAGGTAGTTGACCAAGTCTAAATCCAGATATGCATCAAATCTGGTGGGAAAGGTTACAATGTTTTGAAAATCTAACGTGGCTAAAAACGGATATCAAAATTTTCAAGATTGCTGCAAATGCTGTAAACAGAATACCCTCCATATTCAATCGACACAATTAGAAGAGTGTCGTAAAAGGCATAAAGAACTTCAAATGGTAAAGTGGGAGTATTACACAACTTTACAAAAATAAGTGATCAATGAATGTTTGGGCTTACATTTCAGTACAGACGCATTTATATAAAGTGTAGGCCAATGAGCACTACTCATTTTTTCATTGATGTGATAACACCATCACCTCGTTTGGAATAAGGAACTGAACGATCGACTATTTAGTTAATGAAACCATCAAGGTTTATTATGTCATGATTAATTTCCGTGTACAGGCAGGTTTCTTGTAGCCGTATGAGCATATTTCCACAGTTTGATCAAGTTCATCAGTTAGTGATCGGAAGTTAGAACTGAGAGAGAACCATTCACCATATAGATTTGTGAATAAGGTTTTCCGTGAACAGTTATGTGAGCCTTTGTGCATGAAAATATAACTGGTAAACTTTGTTGGAAACGTTCGCAACGTGACTAGATCATTCGGCTAGCACGGATCCCGGGGCTTTTACGATGATTAACAACATCACCCTTGATTATTTTGGTATCAAGGTATTTGGCTAAATTCGAAAACACGATGAATGAGGATCCATTGTAGGAAGACACAAAGTAGCGAGTAAGCTCGTTTGCAGTGATTCTTCTACAGACTAATACGTCACAGTTTATATCCGACTGTTTAGAAGGGGGAGAGATGTTGACACCCACCGATCTAAAAGGACTAGGAGTCGCGTTTTGGCCACAATGAAAGCAATCGGTATCCATCTATATAATCCCCCCCTATGTTCCCCAAAAAGAAAACAATTCTTAAGAACAGTCGATCTTCCCGGGTCAACACCACACACACGGCACAGCCATCCTCCCACCCATCCCTAATGACCCAAACCAATGCTCATGTGTGAGGACCAAAGTGTGAGCAACATGTCTTGATTTATCCCCCCCCCCCCTTATAAACAGTTTGATATAAATTGTGATGTATTAACCTGTGGAAGAATCACCGCAAACGAGCTGGTTCGCTACTCTGTGTTTTCTTACAATGGGTAATGATAGTATATTCGGACGAATGAGGTTCCGTTGATTGGGGGATCGAGCAGCGTTTGCGAACTAAAAATGTGTGAAACGAGCACTATGCATATTTCAAGATATATATATATATATGCGTATATTGTTATTTACTCACTATTATCATATCAAGGATAAATGCCTGAAAACTTCGCATAAATAGAATTTCTTCGATACTCGGTGTATGCGGATTCCGAAGGGCAACTCTGGAAATTACTCCAGCATCTGTAGCCGCTACGTTTTCTCTTTTGTCACAAACATTTTTCTTATGACACGATTACTTATGATCTGCAATGACAATCGGGCTTCGCCACTGACCACAATCAGTGAGTGTGTAAACCTGTCATTGACTTAGACCACAAATAGATTGATAGGAATAGGATTCCTGATAAATGAACGGTACATGGGAATAATCCAACCCCTGCGCTGTTTCTTTTCATTGGTTTACTTCCCCATTGAATATAAAATTTTCAATAATGAGGAAGCAGTCAGTCGAATGGGCTGCTATGCTGTTGTTCAATAATTCCACCGTTCTCTCTCTTTCTTGCACTCTTCTGNCTCAAATTCACTATCTGGCAAACAGATTGAGGAGCCACCGTCCGGAGCGCTGCGTGGTTCACTTCCATGTGGCACAACACCGTCTTTGGGATCACTTCGCCCTATTCACTCCTCGCAGATGGACTCTTTGAAGACAGCCAAACATAGTCATCTGTGGCTAATCTGGGTACGTGTTCCCTCCTTCCGCGGATTTGATCACGCTTATCTTCGAGTTGTGTATACATCAATTCACTTTTGTGTTCATCGGTTTTCTTTGATTTTTGCATGAACATGTTCCATTAGTTGTTTGGCAGATTGAAGTCCTATGTTAAAATTGTGACAAGTTCAGTAGCCTCGGTGGGATTCGATTCTACACATGGACGACGTCTTCGCGTTTGTGTACAGTCTGCCATCTGAGTCACGAGATCACACTGGCAGTACTGATTTTTCTTTTTAGGATGCTAAATGGATTTATTTCGGCCTCACGCTGTTCTTTTTTCGATGCCATAGCTTCTCGCAACGTCTTGAATAGCCTTTGTTGAGGAAGTCCTACTCACTGCTTTCCCGTGGCGGTGTTTTCTTAACAAAGTGAGAGGACAGAAAGTCGACATCCGGGGCTATAACCCGGTTGGTGAACCATTGGCAGTTAACTTGAGGGAGTTGGCTAAAACATTCTGATTCCAAACCAACCATGAGGAGGCGTACGAGCCATACACACAACTTCCTGGTTGTGGCAGTGGTCATCGGCTCAATTGGGCATCGGGGTGTATTGGGCACCTTGGACGTTAGAGTCCGTCCAACGAGTGTATGATCCGACGAACTGGACACCGGCCCCCAAGGGACCGCGGATTCTGCGCTCGATCCCGCTGCCTTGAAGGTCTGGCTTCGTTCACATGTGGCACATTTTCCATTCTCTGTAATTGGCTACTTCTTGTTGTTGTGTAGACTGTCGTTCGTTATTTTCTTTGAAGAGCATAGCCGAACGCTTTTGTGAGTGTAAACAGCTCGCAAATGGCTGATAGACCACTCTGTCCGTCAGTAATAACGAAGCATGTGGAGAGTCAAAACATCTGGTTACGTTGTCGTGAAAACCGCATTCGTCTTTCGACAATAAACTGGTATACTATCGTTTGCTTTGCTCTTTCTGGTTAGGAATTTGCGGGTTCTGAGTTAATACAATGTTATTCAGTATGGTACAATAAAATGGTGAGTTTTTCCGGACATTTTAATAGTTTTCGGACTCTGGAACAAATTGTATTTGCAGAAAAACGCCGTAAATGATTATCTAGTTTACAGTGCATTTTAGCCGTTTTTCATTTTCTTCTTTGCGCAAATGAATAAATAAGTTAACCTAGCTTGCTTATCAGTCATTTCATATTCGCTATTGCGCTGTCACTTTTTCCATTTAGATTCTCGAGCGTGTCGGTTGGCGCGACGTGGCCACGCATATGGAACGGCAAGCACCGATTCTGTATCCGGTTACTGATTATTCGCTCATGGCAGACACTCACTCAAATTCCTAGAACCGTGGCATGAAATTCGCTTGAAAATAAAAAAAGATGTGTCTGTGAAGGCTTTCGATTTCGGTGGATTGACCTGTGATTTACTTTTGGTTGCTTATGGATTCCGTTTGGATACTATTCAGTTCCTTGTATATTTCATCTCTTTTCATCCACACCTCCAATTTCGTTGACTATTCGGCTCTTTTCAACAGGATTTATGATTTTTGACCTGACAACAAAAACCGCCTCGATTCCCGTGTCGCGCTGTCTTTTTCCGCAAACTTTGATGCCCACAATACCTTTTGCTTTCGCTCTCTCTCGTGTTGGCCATTTTTCGTTCGCCTGCTGATTTGGTTTTACCCTCTCTGTATGTATCTGTCCGTATGCGGTGGCTTGGCAAAAAAGGAGCACAGTAGCATTGTTTAATTTTTCTCTCGTTCAAACACTCGGTTGTTATTCAATGTATTACTTTTTACCCTATTTAAACATGGGACTTTGGGGTTGTTGTTTATGTCTGAAATCTAGCATCCGAAATTCTCCTGTGTCGCACACAGGCCTGAGGCAAGTAAAGCACNTAGTGCGTGCAGTTACTTTCTTCATCCGTACCTGGGCTTATTCCTGTCGTGCAATGCGCTCACAGATCCATCAGGTTCATTAAGGTAACCGCGGCCATGCAAATCTGTACCTCTTTCTGGATTTGCTACAGTATTCCGCGGGTAGTCACGGCAACGAGAATTCGGAAAAGAACAGGAAAGCTTGACTTCAGTCTTGGGAGTTCCGTTTCTTGGGTACGAGATTTGAGGTAGGGAATGTGGAAAAGGTGGTAACCGTATTCATATGACTGCTGCCATTTGATGTTAATCCTTCCTGTCCCGTTTGGATTCTACAACTGGTTGCNATGCACTAATAACGAAACCTGACATCGGCATCCGGAGTGCATACCACTTTGCGGATGGTTTGGATCACGGTCGGAGTAAGCATCGGTACCAATTGGCGTCTACGTGTATGGGCATCACGACAACGCAAACGACTTGCACTCCGCTTGTCTCAGACTTTCCGTCACACACACTCGTGTGTTTGTAAAGCGCTTCCGATCAGCTGACCGATTGAGGGGATTTCCATTGGGAGTTTTCAGACACTGACAAAGCTATGGTTATCATCGCCGAGATACCGAAGAAAATTCGTGTTCTAAAGTGATCTAAGGTGATATTTCAGTTTTACCGATGAATTCACACTTAATTGCTGCTTGTGGTATATAACAGAACAGAACTGGAGAGGGGGAGGGGAACAGGTCTTGTAAAACACCGGATAAACACTGAAACTACCCCACCTAGTCCCCTTTGGGTTGAGGACTGAAGTTGCTTCAGTGCACTCGGTAGTTGAGTGCTACGTTTGACGTACTGAAGCACGCGCTCATGAACATACCTACAGTCTGGCCAGCGAAATGACACGTAATGTATTGACCCGGTATCATACTCAGATTGACTGAAACACAGTGAATCCCTGAATTTGAGGGTAAAGGTTTGTTATTTATCGTGCTGCGGCTTTGCGCTTTGTAGCCGGAGCGGATAGAAAGAAAGCCAAAATGATATCCGTAGACGGGTGTCACAACTACTGGACTGTCATTACAGATCGACCTTAAGACAAGCCGAGGGAGATAGCGAGACTGTTTCTATTGTGAAATAAACATGGTACAATCACGATGTCATGGGTATGAACAGTTGCCTGGGTCATGAATGAACACGGTTGTACTGGTATCGAACAATGCAGGCTATAACGGCTCTATCGATCGAGTTGTGTTAAAATTGGGAAAGCCTCAGTATGGTCGGGGGTGGGTGTCTTGGGTTTCGGCTGGTCACCCCGCTCTTGCACCTCGTGACATGCTCCCATTCGACCAAGCGTCTCTAAGAGCCTCTGCTGAGGCGGCCCTACTCATTGCCTTCTCCTGGTGGAGGTGATTTTTAACAAAACTGAGGATGGAAAGCCAATAACTGGTTCGGTGAACCGCTGGCAGTTCACCTAAAGAAGTTGGCTAAAACCCCTTGATTTCAGACCAATCGAGATGTTTACGAACCACGCATACGCCTTCCCGGTCGTGGTAGTGATCACCGGCTCGATTGGGCATCGGGGTGTATTGGGCACCTTGGACGTTAGAGTCCGTCCAACGAGTGTATGATCCGACGAACTGGACACCGGCCCCCAAGGGACTACGGTTTTCACACGCCTTCCATTTGCCTTGAGCGTAAGATTTTGGCTAACCGGAGGCTCTGGTTGTGAATTCCCTAAGAAAATTCACTTTCTTTCTCCCGATCCACCAAGCAGTATCGAGCCCATGAGCAAATTTTGGACCCTTTTTCTTTTCATAAAGTTGTGCCGTGGTCTGTTTAGCACACAGTCTCGAATCAGAGGTGTGTAAAAAATATGAATTATAAAACGCTGGTNATGTACGGGAGCTAAATCGACAGTTAGCCACTATTTCCTTACGCAACTCAATTTCGCTTTCTGAAGCGAGCCACTCCGGTTTTTTTTATTGCACACCAATGTGTGATGAACTGTCGGGATGGACCTCGTAGTCACAAAGACCTACTGTTCAGTGATGGTAACCGACAACCTAAGCCCCGGGACTTGGAGTGGCAAACGACATAAGGCCCCGCTAGGTCAGGCGTGGTATTGAACCGGACGACAGCAGAGCTACCTACCACCAAAGTTGGGTGGCGGTGGCGGGGCTCAAACCTCGGACCACTGGATCCAAAGCACGCGGGTGATAGCTACTAAATCACTGCGACGCAGCCACCAATTGAAGATCTTTTAACTGCGGTCTGGGGCTCATATTGTTAAATATTCGTATCAATTAGTTCTCATTCTGGACGCGATTCACTTTTTGTAACAGTGAAATGTCCTTCCTAGAAGGTCATTCTGGTATTTAGAGTATGATTGTGTCTCCATTTNTTCGCCGACGTTTCGGTTACCGTGGGTAACCTTTCTCAAGGTAGGTTTTACAATCAAATGACTCAGAGCCCTTGAGTCTATCTCACTGGTCAATTGCAACTATTTCTTGCGATTTGATTGTTTCTCCCGTTGTCTTGGTTCCCCCTGGCTCATTGGTCTGTTTGATTAATTGATCCAACCACAAACCAGTTTGAACCGGTCCTGTTTGCGCAGTTTTGGTTCACCAACGCTTCCTTTGCTAGCGATACATGGATTCCAGTTCTGTATGCTTGTTTATGCCTATCCATATTGATCGTCTTGATTTCACTGAGCAATGGTTTGTCAAAATATGGTCAATTATCGCGTCGGCTGTCACCTACTCACAGGTGGGTAAGGGTTCTCTTCCATTCAAACGGAACGACTCGACTGATAGATGAATTCGTATTAGGCTCACAGTTACTTGTGAGTAGTGGTATGGGATAAGTGATATTGATTTGGTCCATTGTCAGTCGAGCCTAGTAGGTTGGTGGCACATCAAACCGTAGCCTGAATGAAAGACCTGACTTGGTGGCAGGCTTGCGATTGGAGTTGCCAGATAGTCAACTGTGTTTTGCTTCATGGACTTCGAGCCACAAATGAGCTGAGTGACTATCACTGTATTCGACATCTGAACAAACCTGAGTTGGAAATTCGGTTCAGCCCTGGTATGACTTGGTTGGCACAACGGAAACACAGGCCTTCCATGCGATGGGATTTCAGACCCCGGACGGAACGGTGTATGTGCACTACTGATGGACTGTAATAGGAGCGAAACTCGAGTCCAGTGCTTCCAAGTGTATGGTTTACTGGATGAACTGAGAATTGACCTTGAAGGTGAAGTCCGAGAAGGATGATCGGTTCAAACCAATAATAAGCAGAAATTGATTTATTGGATGTTGACTTAGCTATAAGTTGGAATGAGTTCTTTTCAAAGCACCTATTGATCCACCTCTGCATCAACTTCTTTTCGACCAAACTGGGGCAGTGGAGGCTAATTTCGCGACCCCTTTTTATGTACGATCTCACGTTTTACCCCAAATAAGTGGTAAAATCCGTAATGCGCTGACGTTACTTTCACATTCTATTTTTAATAATCGGCCGGAGATGTATTAAACGGGAAATTTCGAAAAGAGAAAACCACCAAGATACATATGAATGCTTGAAGACAGATGCATAAAGAAGTTCTGAATTAAAGGCGCGGCGCGTTGGGGGGAGGGGGAGAAGGAGGCTCAGCGATGACAGCGGTTAAGAACTATATCCACTTGTTCATTATCCCGGAGTATTGTTCTCTGTGCATACGCTCATTGAGTTTACCATGTTTCCGATGTCACCGAATCCATGACATCAGTTGGTGCTTCCTGTAGGGAAAAATGAACACCATGGGAATGGGTTGTGATTATGAATTATGAAG